AGCATTTTCATCCACCTCGTAATTTTTCATTCACAAAGCAGTACTGGAAAAACCTCCAGATTACCTCTGTTCTTTCATTATTTCAGGTGGTTACCAATTACAATCCTCAAATATTTAGCTCTTTTGTGTACCTTGAGTTATGACAGGTCTAGGGATAACTGCATTTTCTTATAAAGCACCATGGGCATGGAAAAATGTTCAAAAAGACATAAAATTAGACACTTATATCATCTTATTCTATTTTTTTTACATTGTCACAATATTAACATTGACATGAACACAATCATGTGCACAGACAGCTTTGGTCTCCTCTTGATGTCACAAAGCTAGCGGCAGGTTGTATGACCTTGCCTTCAGGAAAAGCCAAAGTAACATTTCAAAGCTCAATCCAAACCATCTGCAAAACCATCATCTTGCAGAAGAGTAACAAGACTCATCTTCACAGAAGTTTACATTAGTTTACAGTGTTGGTATGTTCTACTCAGTGGAATGAAGGAATTGAATGTGTCTTAGGATTGTTTTTGTCTTGATTTTGATAGAACAGCTGAGGATAGACTACAGGGAAAAAGAGAGTAAATAAAAAGGGCTGGGGTCACACCTGAGACCCTTGCAGTGAGGGATTAGTCTGTTTACTTGGAGGGGTGAGCTCAACCATCCGAGTTAAATCGACACCCTAGCAATTTAATGATTCTAAGAATATTTAAATGGTAATACTATTAGTTGCATCACGTTTCTAAGAACATGACAGTTTTTTTATATGTTTAATGCAGGGCCATTAGCATTAGCCCATATAGAATCCATCAGTATTCATAGCCAACAAGAATGTGATAAAGCAGACCCCATTTTTTTCATAAAACGAGCACCTAAGTTAATATAGAAGAAGCCGGCAATGATGTAAACACCGTAAAGAACACATTTCCAATAAGTTATAGGTTAAACCCAGCCCTGTTTTTTTTCTATTATCATTTCATTATGAACATTATAACTTATTAAGCATTCATATTCTAACACTGTACACTGAGGTGTCCTTTTGGATGTCATTATGTGTTATCATATACTAACTCAATGAGTCGTTTTTGCATAAACGTGCACTTTTATCATGAGCTGCCAAACTGTTCCCCAAGCTAACCCAGCCTCAGTGTCGACATAAATGACATCAGAGTAGACGGATACATCAGTCAGCAGTGATTGTTGCAGACAACCCAGCAGAGCATTAACACTGCACTTTGCAGCTTTCAGCATGTATTTTTTTTGGTTAGCCAGAGCAAAAAAAACAAACAACACAATGCTGCTTCCTGTTAAAACTGTGCACTGCCACTTGCAGCACAGTAATTCACACACACACACACAGAGTGTATGCTACCTGTCCTTAAAGACAAAAATAAACATGTAAACTATTAAGTCAAACATTGACTACCCAGTCCAAGAATTCAAGACATTTTCTCAAGAGTTGGCATTCATAACTAGTGCTAAAACTAGTGACCATTGGACTTAAAAAAATTGATAGACAGCCAACAACTCTCCCTGGCGCACTACATGGTCAGCTTTGTTCACTCAGGATGAATACTATATAATCAGTTTGAACGCTCAAAGCTGTTGCCCTTTTCTTTTTTAATCTAAACCAGTGTGGGATTGTTTTTTAATACCACAAGCCACACATGAGATGATGGTGATAGAAAGCTGCAGAAGGCTTTGAAGTAGGGCGCTGATTCTCTGTGGAGTTACAAGTAGCCCTTTCACATTATTATTAGTCCTTCCATTCAGTGTAGATATTGCTTTTTGTTAGTTTTAAGGCCATGTTTTTTCATGTGCTAAACTGAGCTTTTTACTACCAAATCTGTGCAGTTTGTGAACAATTGTGTTTCCATTACATGTTTGTAATAACCCTAACTTTGACAAATAATAGATGAAATGCACATTTCTGTCACATGCACACAAGGTACTGCAACCGCAGTAACAATAACTCTTGTTCATTAGATATCTATTGGAGGTTGGAGGTTGATGCTTTGTTGCTCATTCACACCCACACACAGGTCAGATCATACAACATAAGAGTCTACACCTGAGTGGGTGCACTAATATAGGTGACGGTGTGTACACTCTTTTAAAATAAACAACGAAAGCCAATGTAAGAGAGACAGGTAAAGCTCATTACATTGTCTCTAAACAGGAAAAATTACTCAATTGCAAACTGTATTGCCTTCAAACTACATTGGACCTGTGAATGTGTGTCTCAGTACCTCCAATCTTATGTATTAATTAAATCTAATCAAATTTAAGATTTTAACATTAGTTCAATCCTTTGTTGGGAATCTTTTTTTTTAGGGATGCATCAATTAAAAACTGACATCAGATACTGGTATTTTAGAAAGACTCAGATAACTGGAATGGGGTGTCTGTGACAATGGGGCAAGTCTTGTGGACATCAATTTAATGTTGATGTCATTGTTGGCATTTTACATCATGTCTGAGCAGTGGGCTGGGATGTGATTTTGCCCCAAGGAGAGCGCTACACAACCCTGCATGAAGGAAGATAGTGTGTGAGCCGTCTGTGTGGATACACTTTCTGTGTTTGGAAAGAAATGATTCAGTCAAGCAGATGTTGCCTGATAGATATACAAAAGATCACTGAAGTGCAGTATTGGATGGGTTTCAGCCAAGACACAAAGCCCTTGGCTGATATAGGTATTGGTATCAAGATTTAAATGTTGGATTGTGCATCCTTTTTATCCCTTTCAGTCCACTGTACACTGGCAGGGCAACTTAATAGTCTCAAGCACTAAAATTAAAGTTCATTTGTGGGTTTTTCTGAACACCCTATGGCGTAAATCTGCAATATAAGCATCTACTGGAAAATCACGGTCCACAAAAACGCATCCAACATTTCTTGGCAGCATTATATGTTCATTAATATCACATATGATCACACATTATCTCACAGATTGTTTAACTAACTACAGTTAAAAAGCAGTGCTTTAAGGCTACTCCATCAAACAGATGTATTCCCCATTTTTATTTTAAAAACATAGAGGACAACTGCTTAATTAGTATCTTGAAGTCATTACAAAGAGTCTACTTTAGAGGAGTTTCAACTCCTCCCTCTTTGGTTTCCAAAACTTAACTGTCACTTTAAGTGAAACATAGCTTGTGAAACTAGTGTGGAAGAATTGACAACTAAAATGGAAAAACCCACATTGTAGATGTACCACCTTTGACGAAACAAGACTTCAATAATCCTCCCACTTATTAGAAAACTAGGTTGCTTTATACATTGCACGACTCATGCCCGTGAGAAGGCCGCACATGAGATGCAGCTTGAGAGAGAGTCTGTCTATATGGTGATATACTAGTTTTAAAAGGGAGAGATGAGCTAAGGACATTAGACTAATAGTGTAATGAAAGAAATGCATGTTAAGATTTCCTTAAGCTCTAAAACAGCAATGACCATACTCAACATGGAGTCCAAGAAACACAAGCTGATATTTTGTCAAGCCTGGTTGTCTTTCCAGATATATTTTGTGCTTTAATAAAGGCCTTTCTGGAAAGGAAATAAAGTTAAAAAGATAGTGATGTTGATGATAATCTCGCCTTTGTACGCGAAACAGAAAACAATACTTCTGTGCATCACAAATCTAAAGTAACTGCTGGTAGTCACATGTCTGTCTGACTCATATTTATAACAACATACTGAAAGAAAACAACTCAAGGACATGTATTAGTGATAAACATCTCTTCTCTATAATACAATTCCAGCCAATTTCATCTACAGTTGAAATACAACGCAAGGAGGAGGCATGAAATGTCACTATTGTTTTAAAAGAATAAGCCTCACAGAGTTGGTCAACTGCCCTTTCAGCTGAAAATCCTGGCCTCAACTACAAAATAAGCATTATATTTTCATTAGAATGCAATTAACTCAACATTTTTGTACTAAAGTCTTCCACAGCAAATGCAATATTTGCCTGTCCCCATACAGCGACTGGCTGTCTAATGTTTTCATTAAATAGCTTTAGGTCATGCAGTGCTACAGGGGTTTCTACAGCAGTTACAGCCACTCAAGGGGGAAACTTGTGTGACTACAGACATGGAGGATGAGCCTCCCCTTTCCTGAAAAAGGACTCCATTGTGTTGCCACAGTGACAAAGCAGTTCTGCAGGTTCCACCTTCACCTCCCTTCCCTCTCATTACCTCCGCCCCAATCTATAACCAGTCAAACTCCTGTTGAGCACGCTCTCTCCTTCGTGCTTTAACTTCCTTGTCACCGCTTTTAAATTTCATTCATTCCAAGTGCTGCAAAGTAATTTCATAACAAAGCTGGGTAAGGACTATTAAAGGGGGTGGCCAACAGGTAGTAGTAGACAGATAAGGAACACACACTTCGCCTGACCTGGATATGTCAGAGAAGCACCAGCTGGTTTGCTTCCACAAGCATTTCTTCCATGATCATTCTGCTGACATGGGTATTTATGTCTTATTTAATTAAAAACTGAGGAACAGAGTGTTGGTTCGTTCATCAAACCTCGTTATTGAAATGTTACACAGAGACCCAATCATTAAAAACAGTCCTTCATTGTAATGGGCCTGCGGATTTTTAAAGAAGAGAAATAAAATGCAATATGAAAGCACAGTATGTGAGCCTATTTTTTTGGTGTTTGTGTAAGAGTTTAACAGACTGTAGACAAAGCTATTTTGCCAACACTGAACAAATAAAATGGCCTACATTTACCATATGCTAAGGGGGGGGAAAAGGGCAATTGGGGAAAAAAATAAATTGTGAATACGACTTCAATGTGGGCAGCTCAAAGATCAAAGTCAAACTAAACCAAGTGATGTTAAAGTATTCAGTTTTAATTGTGTACAGCGTTTGCAGGATCATGAACGCCTTTGTATGCAGATAAGGGTGATGTCAGACTTTTCCAAACATGTCAGAGTGGAGCTACTACAGCCTGACAGTGCTGCTGCTATCTAAGGCCTATCCTGAGCTCTTATAATCAGCTTACCAGGTTGAACACCGTCTCCACAATGTCTCGATTGGAAACTTCTCCAACTTCCACCAGGCCAGCAAGGACGGCGAATTTCATCCTTATCCCCTTGATAGGCACTCCGGGGTTAAGCGCCATCGCGCCCGGTCTCCCGTCCTGCCCATCATGACCCGCTGTCTCCTCGCTAGCCATTGCTAAGGGGAGGACGAGGCAGGTGGTGTTCACAGGTAAGGCACCTGTTCACCTCCCCGATGGTGACAGTGCAGCCGACGTCGGAGGAGGAGAAAGAGAGATCTATCTCCCCTTCAGTTGACTTGTCGACAGTCTACAAGCACACAAACCAAACGTGTTCCTCCTCCCCATTCAAAACAGTTTCAGCGAATAAGACAAGAAAGTGGGCACAAAAAAAAAAAGGCGCAAAGAGGATTTGTTAGCCGATGACACCGAAGAGACTGTAAATGTCACTCCACATGAAGCTACTCCTCTCTCCGGTAACTTGATAGCCAGGCGGATGAATTAATGTTGTTGAAGTTAGCTGCAGGTAACAAGGAGAGAAGAAGAAAAAGGGGAGGTGGGGGCTCGTCCTTAACACGTTTCTTCCTCTGCTGCTCGGGTCAAAAAAAAGGCAAACGAGGATACGGTGACTTTTAATACCTCCGTAAAGCGCTGGAAGTTGCTATTGTCAGAGAGTCAACGGACTCTTTGACAGGTAGCGCGCCGTGCAAGAGGCAAAAAAACTCACAGGGACAGGGGGACAAGTCCCTCGGCAGCCCCGGTGTAAGTAGACAGAGGACAGACGACTGCTCGGTCCACCGTGGCGAACTCCTCAGACTTGCTTAAATGTCATCATTAACCCAGCTGCGCCGCAGTCTCTCTTCCTGATTTACCCCCGGTAGCTTTGGCTCGCCACCGCCATGACAGTGTAGCCCTTGAGTGAGTAGAGCATGCGCAGTGGGGAGCTGAGGCTATTCAGCCCTTGTGGCAGGTGTGCCGCTCAGGTGGCTTTTTAGCGTGATACACTGGGACTCGGTTCAAATGAACAGCTATTCCATATGTGTTTAGTTACAGCGGCTTAGGATTCATGAATCTGAAAAGATATAAAGAAGCTTTGGTGAAAGTAAGTCATTACATTTAGGCTGCTCGAGTAGTCTAGCCGACTGTACTAAATGTGTACAATTTCTATTGCCTATAGTTCTACTTGCAGTTTTCTTTTCTCGTGCAGCTTTGAACAAAAAGTCGATTTGGCTCAGTAGAAAATATTGTATTTACAGTAGAAAATGGTGTGGACTACCAGTAGGCTATAAGATACAGGGAACATTAGTTTGGATCACTGCTCTATACTTTGCACAATAGGCCTTAAAAGTCCTACACTTTGAATAGTGTATGGGTTTATATAATCTGATGCATTTATCTATACCACATATATATTGTGTCTATACTAATATAGACACTGTATATATTGCAACGTTGATTTTTTTTTATGACTTTTTGACAACAAAGCAGAAAACAGAAGTCTCTTGGTTTTTTTTTGGGTTATATTGATTTAGATGTTAACATGGCTGTGACCTCAATAATAGGCTATTTGTATTTTGTGTTCTTAGAGTTCATATAATGTGCACTGAAGACCTTATTGTGACTTTAAAGTGTTTTATTGCTCTAATCTCACATAGCATCAATAGATTAAGGAGTTTAGGCCCACAGCAGCAGGTAGGCAGGACTGTAGTTAACCCAATGCTATATTACAAAACCTGTAAGGGATACTAAATGACAGAACAAGAAACTCTTGTAGTTGTGTTTTATTTTTTTTCAGAATACCATGTTAATATAGAAAAAGATGTCATACAGCAAGTGTAGATAGAAGATAACATTTCATAATGTAGCCGGTGGACAAATATTAAATCCAGCATAACAGAACTGTACTGAGAGCCTTCATGGGTAAACTAACTGTTTCTTAACAGTGTAATATGTAAGGGGGAGGGGGGGGGGTGCAGAGCTTTAACCCATGAGGAAAAAGAGTTAAACATTTTTATAGAGCATTTTGGTTGTAGAGCTTTGTTTGTGTGCAGCAAAACAGCTCATTGACAGATGTCTGCATCCCGAGGCAGTGCAAAAATAAACATTAAAGCATAGTGACGGCTCTGCTTTGCTTGCCTTTTCAAATCATCAACAACAACCCATTGCATGTGAGGTGTATACATAGATTAATAATAATTGGTCATATCCCCATCTATCTGTTATTGCATAGATGAAATAATTACAATTCAATCCATGTGCAAGGGTATAACTGCTCTATTTTATGATTTTAAATAAACATGTATTTGTCCTCTGTCTGTTCATACTGGTGACTTCATCCTCTGCAGGATATTGCTGAGAAACTCTGAGTGTTGTTGTCACAGACGCAGTAGCATTACCACTGACCTCCCTGTAAAGCGTAGCTGCGTCCTCGGGGACACTATGCAGTCATGGAAGCCTGCAGCACCGCCCAGGAGACACAGGCAGTTCGTCTCTGGAGTCATGACCTGAAATCAGCCAACTTGTTCACTGCAGCCCAAAGGTACATTTAAAAAAAATAAGGCTTTGAATAACTATTTCTGACCTTTGAATTAGACATGAAACATGCTGTATTGTTTTTAATTGGGCTCTGCAGAGATAATGAGTCTCCGAGCAGATATCTTGTGCAGTGTTAAAGTTCCACTATGTTTTACATTTTTGCCTGCCATCATGTTTCTAAAGTTGTCTGAGCAGAAAATTGTAATTCCTTTAAATGCATGTACTTTATTCTCTGTCTGCAAGATTAAAAAGTTTGCACAATTCTATTTGAACACAGAGAAAGCACAGAAAAGTACATTTGTGGTGACCATGGTGAATTCAAATCATTCATTAAAACACATAAATTTAATAATGGTGCTCAGATAATCTGGATGAATACAAAACTTGAATCAGGATAAATAATACCAACAGACAAAATTCTTTCTATTGTAACAATAACAGTGTGGGTGGATAACAAGCCACACACCTTCATGACTTTTGAACACACCTTGAGACTGGTTGTGCCTGTTGGGTTTTACTTTATAATCAAATAAATTATTGAAGAAATGAATATCTACAGTATCCGTGATGTTAAATCAATACAAAGTATTGCTGAATTTGTTATTGTTATCCAAAGTACCTGTATGTGAAATGAATATTCGCTTTTAAAAAAAAACCTTTATGTAAATTCAGAGGTTTGGAAACAAAAATATATTTTTTCCTTATCAAGACATTTCATCATCTTGATCATAATGCTCTGTTTTCTTTTAATTAATGTATTTATTTCTAACTGAATTTGTATCTGTAGTCTAAGGTCTGTAGCTATTTGTATCTGTAGTTCTCTATGTCCATGCAACAATAGGCTATTTAATGGAGTTGTATTTTCCCTTTTTGGTCAACTTAAACCCTTTCATTCTCTAGACAACATTATTTTTGGTCATTAATGTAGGCTACTTAAATAAATATATTGTTGGAGGGATTTTTTTTTTCAAATTAGATAAAGCCTAGTATTATGATTTTAACCATGAGAACTGATCTCAGTAAGGCTAATGCAAAGTGTTTAACTTGTGCTTTCTCGACTGTTAAATAGAATGAGTTTTTAACATTTTGATCAGTGGGTCATTTATTTGCTTTTACCTATAGCCTACAAATTATTATTTAGCCAACATAATGGTGGCCATTTACCAACAGAGGGCGACAAAAGAAGCTCCAAGGACTCGCGAGACAGACAAATCTCACCACGCCAGTCGATCTCTTTAATTCTCGCGGTATTTCGTCCTTCCTCCTCTTTCACTCCCTGTAGCCAACATGGCAGTCGGCAAGAATAAGAGGCTGACCAAAGGCGGCAAAAAAGGTGCCAAAAAGAAGATGTAAGTAGCAAATTCAGCATTCGGTTTACTGATCTAACTCTGCTTTCATCATTGGTACCATTTCGCCGCAAGAAATGTGAAGGATGAAGCCGATTTTAGATGGATGAGATCGGGCTATCGCTGGTCCCTGTCGTTGCCGGCCTCTGACGCTGTGTGAAGTTGTATCATGCGTCGCTGTTTTGTGGGACTTAAACGCAATTTATTTAAGTTGTATGCTGTTATATTTCACCCAAGTGCTTCTGCCTTCTGAACAATAAATACAAACGAAGCCAGGTTCTCAGCACAGAGCCTAATTGTAGCGTTTTTATACTTGGAGCTATCATATGTTAGCATCAATTAGCATGGCTTTCCAGTGAACATGGCAGTGTAACGCCGACAGTTAAATGAAATGCAAAGAAAGGAGAACATGACTGAGACGTACGTGTTTGAATAGTCTGGTCAACGTTGATAAGGTGGCCGCTGTCATTTGTGAATTGAACAGGCAATATTTTATATATCTGCTAAGCTGGTTTGCTAACATGGGGCTTAGCAGAGTGTGCTCATCCGGCTGCAGCGAGTCAGTCGTCCATGAGATGTTCTGCCGAGTGCAGAGAAGTAACTCATCTTTTGTTTGTTTCCCCTCTGCAGTGTTGACCCTTTCTCCAAGAAGGACTGGTATGATGTCAAGGCACCAGCCATGTTCAACATCCGCAATCTTGGCAAGACCTTGGTCACCAGGACTCAGGGAACCAGTAAGTCTTCAGTGTGATTATGTTTTATCCAAAGCGACGTACGTTTACATTCATACACCGCCACAGTAGCAGCGATGCAGGTCCCCCCCCCCAAGGACACATGGGAGATGTTGCTCAGCTGGGGATCGAACCCTCCACCTTTTTCGGCGGAGAAGTGACGAGTCTACCATCTGAGCCACAGCTACCACATTGTTTAGACCTGGGGTTCCCAAACTTTTCAGGTCGTGACCCCCAAACAGAGGGTGACAGAATCTGGGGACCCCCCCCCCACTGTTCTTTGAGGTGGTTAGTTAGGTATATAACGCAGCGACAGCCACGCACACACTCATAAACCTATGCAAAAACTAGGAACGCAAAATAATACAACATCCTAAAAGAATTAAAATTTTAATTTCCATTTCACTTGATGATACTGTCTTATATGACATTGGACTACTTTTTGTATGTTTACAAAAATGTTAAAAATATATATTTATGCACTTTTAGTTTTTTATGGAAGGCATCTCACGACCCCCCTCTTGGTGGCTGGCCACCCACCCACCTTGGGGTCCCGACCCCCACTTTGGGAACCACTGGTTTAGACAATGCTTTTTGACCAGATGAATAGGATTTTATATATATATATATATATATATATAGGGTGAAATTATGATGAATGTTACAGTTTATAAACTCACATGATGGTCATGCTTGTATGCACATGATGTCTAAGTGTTTGATCATGTTCAGAGATCTAATGCTCCCCGTGCTGAGTTTGTACTGATTCCAGAGATCATTTTGATCGTTGAGATTGAATGATGTTTTCTAACTTGTGCATATTTTTTTTTTTTAACCACTTAGGAATCGCCTCTGATGGTCTTAAGGGACGTGTGTTCGAGGTGAGCCTCGCTGACCTGCAGAACGACGAGGTGGCCTTCCGTAAGTTCAAGCTCATCACCGAGGATGTTCAGGGCAAGAACTGCCTCACCAACTTCCACGGCATGGATCTGACCCGCGACAAGATGTGCTCCATGGTCAAGAAATGGCAGGTAAAGATTGATTTTTTTTTTTATTATTATTATTGGAAGTGCTGGATATCATCCTGATAGTTTTAATGCTGTCAATTTGAATTCTGGCATGAACAACTCTATGAATGTTCATGGAGGACCTTG